AAAAGTTTATTAATCCACTTGAAGTCAACACAAATCGGGAAAGTAAAAAACTTGAACGATGGGTACCTCAAGAATTGAGTGAATCGAACTTGCAACATGCGTCGACTGCTGTGTTATTTTGCTCAACCGACTTAAAAATGAAGGGATTTTAAGTCGAATCATTACTTGTGATGAAAAGTGGATACTGTACGATAATCGGAAGCGCTCGCAATGGCTGAACCCTGGAGACCCAGCCAAATTGACTTAAAAAAAGTTACTTATGAGTGTTTGGTAGACTAGCGCCTGTGTCGTTCACTACAGCTTTTTAAAATCTGACCAAACGATTACGGCAGATATCTGTTGTCAGCAACTGCAAACCATGAAGGCAGAACTAGCTGCTAAACAACCGAGATTGGTTAATTGCTCTAGGCCACTGCTGCTTCACGACAACGCTAGACCACTCACTGCACAACAAACAACCACTAAGTTAGATGAGCTACAATTAGAATGTCGGCGACATCCACCGTACTCTCCGAACCTTGCTCCAACAGATTACCATATTTTCCGGAATTTAGACAGCTTCTTACAAGGAAAAGAATTCAACTCCGATGCGGCAGTCCAAACCGCCTTTAAATAGTTTATTGATTCTCGCCGCCACGGTTTTTTTAAAGGGTTCGATGAACTACCTATGACATGGCTAAAGTGCATAGATAACAACGTTGCATACTTTGATTAATTAAATATATTTTACAAAAAAAAATTGACTTTATATTCCTCCCGTACAAACGCCAATTTCATACGTAAGGACCTAATATGTTTCATTTTCCAGTTCAATGTCGATATTTTAAGAATTGTTAAATAAAAAACCAAGCTCTCGAGTACTGAATATACTTCTCTTTTCTTCTCCACTCAGTTTTGTAGTTTTGCTATTCAATAACATGTTTTGTACACGTATGCCACACTCATCTCTTCCTTCTACTCTTTTCTTCCTCTCAGCAGCACAAGACGACAGCTAAATCTAATGAGTGCACAGAAGTAATTTATATAAACAGAATCACATTGACTAATGATCAGCTAATGACTGTCATTGTCATTTGTCAATAGAATAAACACTTACGTCCATGACCATTGATGCGTTGAAGTAACACAAACGTAGTATTGGTAGATCCACTGCGGTCAATACGACCATACACTGACTCCGTGACTGCAGCTGCTCGGTCTTATATGAGATGCTTCGCTCCTACTTTATAGATAATAAGCAATAACATTTTGGAAGTAAAAATTGTAACAAAATTAAGGAATGTGTTCTATTGATGATTCAGAATAGCGTGGTAGTTATGAACAAAGAAGTATAATAAAATAGCACTGATAAGCAGGGTATACAAAGAGTAATAGATGAGAGCGGCAATAACGGTTTTTAAGGAACAATAGATAAGAGGAAAGTCTGAACAATGGAACGCTAATGAGGGTGCAGGGCCACCGGATATCAGTTAGATATTAGTTAATTGATCTGAACATCTATGAAACCGCGCATCCTACGCAAAAACGGACAGCAGATTCGTGATCAGAGCATGCCAAAACCCTTTTTATTTTTGGATCCTTCGACCCACCGTCAGCCGTTGAGGGCTGAGGATGGTGAGTTGTGCCAGTTCTGACTCAATGAGCCAGAACTGGTACAAACTAACTACTATTTAATATTATCACTGGCAACACGCACTGGTTGTACGATTTTGTTTTAAGTTCCTGCAAAATACGTGATGAGATGGGTCATAATTTTGTAAGCAAAGTCTGAAAGCCCTATTAGAACCCTCCAAATCATATTTACATGGGAAATAGGAAGATTAATATGGGTTGTTTGATGCATCGATGGAATTCAATTTTAATGTACATTTGCCTTTAACTTAATTTGAAATCGTTTTAGGCCCAGATTCCTATGAATTTGTAGCCCATAGACAAAGACATTTAAGTAGTAGATGGTAATAGACCGGATATCAGCAACAAAACGGTTATCTGTTATTTTTGTCCTATAGGATATATTTTGGGTTTACGTCATTTAGTCTAAACGACATCGTCATATATACGTACATATACGTATATTTGCCTTAATAATTTTTAAATTTTATTATTTCTAGTGGATTAAACTAGAATTTATTTATCAAATGAGTTAATGATTGACGACCTTTATTGAATGATGTTATATATTAAAAATATTATGCAGGATGCCAATTTAATCATCTATAATATTTAAGTAAGTGGAACAGTAAACGATACTGTACCCATATGTGTCCCGGCCATTCGTGAAACGTCTATGTCAGCCAATACTATCTATCAACAAGATAGACGTCGTTTTAAATATTTTAATACAATACTACAACACTAGGGGAATTACAAATGCGTTGCCGGCTTTTTAAGTCGTATCGGTCCGTAAAAATTGGCGATGGTAAACGATTCCAAAAAGCATTTGTGCAAGAACGAAAACTTCTTATTAATCGCACGGTATTGGACCGCCAAGTATCCAAATGATGTGGATGGCAATGTAAGTTTTGTTGCAAGTGCCAGTGAAATGAGCCAATCAAAGAGAACTCGGTCTTCGACGATTCGACAGTGGCGAAGCTAGGGCTCCAAACTAGGGCAAGTCCAAGATATGGTTTTGTTGTTTTTAGCAGTTCTATAAAAATACACCAATCTTGGTCTGTCTCCACTCTTCAGTTTGATATTCAGTGCTGTCGAGGACGTGTTTAACAAAGCACACAGAAGGCATACTACTATTAGATAGGTTGTACGACATATCAGCAACTGCATACCTTCGGTGTCTTTGAAAAAAGTCGTTTGAGTTTGCTTGAGCGAAAGAAAAAGATATTTACATACAATACTATACATGAACAAAGTACAAGCAAGCTCTGTACAAAATTTATGTATATATATATATAAATAATATGTAACGTAATGAACGCATACCCTCAGACACCCCAAATAGTATGTTATGTTATAATCATAATACGTACACTGAATTTGTAGTTAAACATTTTTATGCACTGATTATTTATCAAATTAGTAATACTAATTCCGGAAGAATGTTGTGGTCACAGTACAAATCCACGAACGCAAAGACTTTAACATGCTTGAAATAAAGTTCATTTTTCTTTATTTTTATTGAATGACAGAATTAGTAATAATACAAATAAAACTGCACTTTTAAAAGTCTTATTGCCTTAAGTTACGGTCCATTTCAGTTTGTTTTGACTGTACAGATTTAGTGTGACTGTAATTTACGTAGTTTTAATTACTTTTGGGATAAAAAATATATTAAAAATGATAGGAATCGATTCAGTAAACGATTCTGAACAAACTACTTTCTCAAAGTGCGTTAATTATGTTATATATATATATAAAAAATATATATATATATATATATAAATGCATGGTTGATAATAACCCGTGGGAATGAGTTAGTCGCTTCCAAGCTGTTTCTAAAATAAATTTTGTAAATAATCTGTGACCCTTGACATTGTAAAACTTATTTTGTTTTTAAAAGTCCCGCTGGGTTTCGTGCTGGTTCTTCCTAGGACAGAGGTTTTTTCGAACCAGTGGTAACGTAAAATATTGACTTTCAATAAGAATTACTTGTAATCTATATTGATTAAAAATTATTTTAAATTTTAATTATTCTTAAGGAAAGATTTGATTACGTCCGCGTAAAATGTTGTTGAGTGTTTTAATTGTACCAATAACTGTTTTTCAATTGCGTTAATTGATATGTCCGAAAGAAACTCTTGACATTGGGTATTTTCCCAACAAAATTTAAAGATTTTACCTTTTTCTCGCCGATTAGATACTTCAATTCATCACAAGGAACACTATTATCCTCCATTTTTACTAAGCTCGCGCGCCCCCGCACTCGGAAACAACTTCGTAGCAAAGCGAAGCTTTTGGCACAGAATAAATAACGGTTTGGTTCCATAGTAATTGCTATATAAACATTTCGTAGTTATATTTCATTATAGAGCATTTTGCCACAAGTTAGAATGAGAGCGATCGTCTTCTTGGAAGCCCGGTAAAAAGCCCACACGTGCGAGAGAGACGACTAATCGCTCAAATCAACTCCTTGGTTTCATTAATTTTGACAGTCCATTGCGTGTTCGCTTTGAGACAGAGAGAACACGAATCGGTGTATTGCGAATTGAAAGCAAACTGCCAAGTGTTGACGTTACATAATTAGGCTACGAGGTTATGATCTGTGTAGAACAGAAGAGCGCGCGGGAAATTTGAAATAATTTGAAACAGTTTACGAGTTATTTTATTAGTTGATATTATTGATTGAGCAGTTTGAAAGGGCAAGCCTGGCTTTTCGGCTTCTACGGAGGCTTCGCCACTGCGATTCGAGCCGCCGTTGTATGCGGAAAGCGGTTCAAATCGTCGACCAGATATGAGAACAGTATTTCACGTGAGGCCAAAGCTGGCCCAACCTGCGCCTTGTAAAGTTGCAAGTGGTATGCCGGCATGAACTGCTGTCACGCCCTGCTGAGTACGCCAATCTTTTCATAAGCCAATTTAGCTTTCTCTTCCAATTGGCCTAAAATATGATTGAAAAGGAACAAATTTATTTTTTTTTTTGGATATGACGTTTCTCGGTGTGGCTTCGACGCCAACCGACCAACGATATGAAGTTATAATCGATATTACTATACGTAGGACACTTAATAGAGTCTCGTCGCGGTTTTCGTGCGAGGGAGACGCGTGTTTCGCAAATAAGCAATAATTTTTTTGCGTTATTAGCTGTTAAAGTTGTGCACGCTGCTACACCTCGCTACCTGTGTAGCGGAGTACCGTTATGTTGCCGATGTGCGAACGGCCCATTCATAACGAAGACTATCATTAGAGTGGTATAATACTAATGAATGTAAACAACTCGCATTTAGAGAATGTGATTACAGTTATAATGGAGAGCGATATTTCCTTGAGTGAACATATCAGATGCGGAAGAAGGGACTTACAGAGAAGAGAACTTAGTACAATCTGGAATGGAAGAAGACCAATTTAGGAGCGAAAATGATGATGATAATGAGGGATGGAATTTAGTCAAAAGCAAAGAGAAAAGATTAAAACCACAACTGAAGGAGGATATTGAGATGTATTTATCTAGCAATGAAAAGTTGCCTAAACAATTTGAATTAGTTAAGACGCTGAAGGCTTGTGGGATAGTTGATATCACCAGAATAAAATACATTAACTCTTTCAAGATTCGTGTTGAAGTCTGCAGCGAGTTAAGTGCCGATAAAATTGAAAAATTTCAAGAATTTAAAGATAAAGGTTGGAAGGTATATAGGGCTATGGAAAGGACTTCATCTTATGGCGTCATTAAAGACGTTGACCTTGATTTATCTGACGAGGAAATTTTAAGAAATATAATGTGTGATAAACCCGTAGAAATAGTATCTGTATATCGGCTTAAACGTCGAAACAAAGAGGGAGAAGGTTGGCAGCCAAGTGAAGCGGTACAAGTATGCTTTAAAGGTTCATTTATTCCACAGTACATATACGTTAATGGATTACGTATAAAAGTTACTCCTTATGTATTTCCCGTATCGCAATGCTCGACATGCTGGAAATATGGTCACCCTACAAAGAAATGCCCTTCCAGTAATATAGTCTGTCCTAAATGCGGTGGTAGTCGTGAGAACTGTGAAACACAGAATTTCCAATGTGTTAACTGTGGTGAAAATCATATGGCCTTGCATAAAGCTTCATGCCCAGCCTTTTTAAAGGAGAAGAGGTTGAGAGAAATCATGGTAGAATTTAACTGTACTTATAGGAAAGCCTTAACAGTATATGTACCGCCCCCAGCTTCCTTGCTTGGAAAAGATAGCTTTCGACAACAGTCTTACAACCCTCCTACCAACATGATCTCACAAACGGAGAGTAGATTCCAAGAACGTGATATCTCCACATTTGCAGAGATAGTTAAAACTGACATCACATTGCATAAAGAGAATATAAATGAGGTTGAAAACACTTCTGCCAATACTTCAATGAGATTTCGACGTACTCGTAGGAGGGACACCGCTTCTTGCAGGTTGGAGCTCCCGATAAACTCATCTACATAGAATAGTGAGTCAACACTGCCTCCTGATGCGGCTGCTAGTGAAGAAAAAAAGAATGACCGTAATTGTTTGGACGAGCTATTAGTGAGACTAAAAGAAATTATATTTTTAAGGGAATTGACGATGGAAGACAAGCTACATAGGGTGTTAAAGTGTTGCTTAGAGTGGTTAATCTCATTGAGTGTACAATTCGTATCAAAGTGGCCTTTATGTAAGATTATTGCTGACTATTTTACCTCCAATGTCTCGTAATCAGAAATCTGTTAGGTTAAATATTGCACAATGGAATTGTTAAAGTATTCGACCGAAATTAATACCCTTAGAGCAATCTCTGAGTCAACTGAAAATTCACATTGCTGCACTCAGCGAAACGTGGTTGGAACGAGATAGTCAGCTGAAGGTAAATGGTTACACGATATATCGTAAGGATAGGGATAACGGTTATGGTGGCGTAGTGGTCTTCAACCACAGATGTCTTAAGTCAAGTTATCTGTCGTTCGAAAGCTGTAACCCAGGGATTGAGGTAATTTGTGTTAAAATTTGCAACTGTGAGCATGTTCAGTATATATTATCCTTATATTGTGCTCCGTCTGTTCACACGAGCCAAAGTGATTGGGAACCAATTTTTTTCTCGTTTTAACAATAAGGTACTTATTCTAGGAGATTTTAATGGACACCACACAAATTGGTCTCATAAATTAGATCAAAGAGGTACCCAGAGTTATGACGCACTTTTAGATACTGATCTCGTAACATTGAATGATGGCAACCCTACTCGTATTAAATTAGTGAATAATACAGTACAACAATCTTCGCCAGACATATCACTGGCTTCCTCAGATATGGCGAGTAAATTTAATTGGGGCACACTTAATGAAACGTTTGGCAGCGATCATCTAAAGCAGAAATAGTCTACCCAACCCACGCAGGAATTATAAAAAGGCCGATTTCTGAGTACCGCAACTTAATAGAAACTCTTATGCAAGGTTTTATTATCACGAAAGACTCACAAAAAACACATGATTCATTTATCGAGTTGATTAATACAGCTGCAGACATTCACATTCCATATATTAAAATTAATTCTGACCCCGAGAAAAATTTCACTCCCAAATCTTACTGGAATAGTTTCTTATCAAAGTTAGTAGCCGAAAGACGGTTAGTGTTATCAACATTTCGACGTAACCCCACGCCCTTTAATTTTGACAAGTTGCAGGAGAAAATTAGGGAATGCCAGAGAAGTCTTCGTATAAAAAAAGTAAGAGTTTTCAAGACTTCTGCACTTCATTAGACGGGACGACATCTCATACTGTTTTATGGAAGAAAATGAAATGGTTTAAGGGATGCTATGTACCGCGATCTGGTATTAGTAAAGAGAAGGCGCTTGGATTATTACAATGCCTGGCAACGGATTTCGTTTGTACTGAGGATCCGATATTTAATTCAAATAACCATAAAATTGAGACACAGATATCTCGACACGAATTGGACAATAGCTTGCGCACTAAAGACACTTCTCCTGGTAGTGATAAAATTTCCTATTCAATGCTATATAATTTGCCGGATAATGCAAAATTAATTTTAGTCAGGCTTTATAATATTTTTTTAGAAACGGGTTTTGTTCCCCAGCAGTGGCGTAATATCACCATAATACCTATACCAAAGCCCGGCCGAGATCCTCAATCTGACTCTTCTTGGCGACCTATATCTATGATTTCCTGTGTATGTAAAATACTACATAATATATTGATTAAAATAGTAGAATGGTATGTTGAACATAACAACATGTTATCTGCCGATACTATAGGTTTTCGTAAAGGGCGCTCCATTTTAGATACTTTATCTACCTTTGTGTCAGAGTCCAACTAAGATTTTCGAAAAACGATCAACGATAGCTTGCTTTGTTGACATTGACAGTGCATACAACAATGTAAATTTAGAACGTTTATTAGATGTTTTGGATACTATAGGGATAGGTTATAAAATATGTACATACCTACGGAATTTTTTAAAAGAGAGAAACCTAAGTATTGAGACAGATTAACTCAGTGATAAGAAGGAAATGTTGTTTAGGTTTAGCTCAAGATTTTCCCCGCTTTTATTTAATATCTTAACAATGGAGATTTGCAAGTCAATAAATAATGTATTTATATCACAGTACGCAAACGATTTTGTTCTATATGTAACCTGTAGTAATATAGAAGAAGGTAGAAACCAATTACAATAAGCTTTAAATCAATTTGTTAGTTTTCTTTCTCTTGCTGGGTTAGAAATTTCAGCTCTCAAAAGTATAATTTGTATTTTCCAAAATAAATTTGTACGGGACCCTGTATCTATATCTGTTAGTGGCATTTCTTTAGAAGTAGTTGATTCTGTAAAATACGGAAGTAGGTATTTGGTTAGACAGGAAGTTACGATGGTCTAAACAAATAAATGAACTAAAAGAAAAATCCTCAAAAATGCTTAATGTTTTCAAAATTTTAGCGGGGACAGGACAGGCGCCTATACATATCGTGTATTCGTAGCAGATTAGATTACGCAAGTTTCCTTTATGGTAGTAGTTGCAAGACACACACAAGCAAGCTAGATAAAATTCAGAATCAGTGTATGCGGGTAATCGGTGGTTTTATTAAAACAACACCTATACACGTCATGGAGTGCGAACTACACCTACCGCCTTTAAATGTACGAAGACATTATCTAGCCGGAAAGTATTGGTTAAAGGCGAAATCCTTTTCTAACCACAAGATTATTCCCATATTGGACGACCTAATTCTTTTAAGTCAAAATTCTTATTGGAGGTGCAAAGAAAAGCCCCTTTTAATTTTAGTTCACAGTTACCATATAGATACTGCTGTACATATTAGTACACAATTAGATATGTTTACACTTGATACCTGGGTCAGCAATGTGAATATTTCGAATATAATTAAGTTTAACATAGATGCCATAAGTAATGCTAAAAGAAGTTATAATTCCTTGACATTACAACAACTGTGTAACAGTTTTATTAAAAATACATATTCAAGTTATTACAAAATTTATACGGACGGTTCAAAGGAAAGTAATTGTGGCGGTCTAGCTATTTATGACCCGCAAGTGGGTAGTTCAGTGAAACTACGTATTGATTCAAATGTCTCCATAATGTTGTTAGAACTGATAGCAATATCAGAAGCAATTTCTTATGTTCAATCTTTTCAATCGGGCAAATACGTCGTTTTAACGGATTCCAAGAGTGCACTACAACACATTGCTCGATGCACCTCGAATAGTCGAGGCACACCATACTATGGATCCCCCGAGGCAACATCGCAGACAGGCTAAAAAAAAAAAACATTAGCTTGCATTACATTGGTGTTTGTAATAGTATTCTTGCTACTCCCTTATCAGAGAAAGTGAGATTCGTATACATAATGGTTGATTGTACTTTAAAACGTTGATAAGAATATAAAATTGTGTATATTTTAATTATCATGTCGGTAACTATGGGGATGGCATGATCATGCTTGATTCTCTCCTCTATTTCTCAATAAAGATTTAAAAAAAAGGACACTTAATAAATTTTGAGATATATAAAAATATTCTAGATACTATTAATATTTATTTTATATCTTTTTAAAATATTCTTATGATGGCATGCTCTATACAATGTTCCATTCGCCTAAACCAACTCTGAAAACACTTTTGCCAGTCTTGATCTGACAGGTCGGAAGTCGCTTCTTCGTAGACAGCCACGGCTTCTTCGGCGCTTGAAAAAAATAAAAGCCCATCCATGTCTCGTCACCAGTAACGATTTTTGAAACACGCCTAGATGCCCCGTTTTCAAAACGTAGACACATTTCATGGCACTAATCCACACGAGTCTGTTTTTCGTTTTCGGAAAGCAAACAAGGGATCCATCGACAACAAAGCTTCCTCACTTCAAGATGTTGATGTAGAATGGTATAAATGCTCCCTTAAGTAATGTCTACGATCTTTTCGATGTCCGTATAATATGTGATTCGTGGGTCTTCTCGCACCAACATTTCAGTAGTCCATACATTTTCTGCCGTTACTGCTGTTTGCGGGGCCCCGGTTATTTGGTCATCTTTAAGGTTAATTTTACCCCTTTCGAATTCAGCAAACCAGCTAAAAATTGTTACTTGTGATGGAATTGAGTCCCCTAATGCTAATAGTAACCGTTGTAAACTCAATTGTTCGGTTAAACCAAATTCAAAATCATAATAGATCATGCGCGCAAATGTTCACGTTCGTCCAGTCAGTGTTGCCATATATACAGATTTCTCCGTATTTATACAGATTTTCGGTGTGTAATACAGATTAACACTGGATGGAGATTTTTATACAGAGTTTTTAACTCTATTGATTGAATTATCATAATATATAACTTAAAACAGAACGAAGCAAAATAAATGACTATAGTTCATAAAAGATAGCTTGATCTCTGCGACAGAAATTTCTTAGTATTACAGACAGTACCTAGTACTAAGTATTAAGTCGGCATGCCCATAAAGTATGACATTGACAGGTACTGTCTGTACTACTAAGAAATTCAGGACTTAATAGGCATGGTTTTTAGTGACAGCTGTCGCAGAGATCAAGCTATCTTTTTATGAACCATAGATACCACGTTAAACACATCATTGCATGATTCTATTCTTTATGGTTAATTAATTTTTACACAACTTAATTATTTAGTATGGGAGCATTACAAGCGTATTATAAAATACATTGATATTGATAAAATATGTATACTGGATAATCTTTTTTACCGTCTGGAAAAAATTGGATGTAACATGTGAACATAGTAGAAGCCTATGGCTAAATATGATATTTTACAAAAAAAATGAATTAAATAAATAAATTAATGAATTCTATCGAAATCCAAATAATGTCCCTCCTAGCCTGTGACCCTGCGAAGTGACAAGGTCAAAGATGGCAATTAAATTTATTATTTTATTACCGTTTGTAAAATAGAGTGGATATGATTTAAATTTCGATAG